CCCTCCTCTCTCTCTCTCTCTCTCTCTCTCTCTCTCTCGACGCGCGAACGCAAATAACAAGCTTCCCCAAGATATCAAACGTCACATTTGGCGTCCAAATGTATCCGTCGGTCATTGAATTATCCCGCTCCACTGAGGAAACGGCAACACTCGATTTCCTTTTTCAGAATACCCTGCGGGAGAACTCACTTTAATTTTCTCTTCTCACGTCGCGCAACCTCCATCTGAAACTTCGGCGGCCACCGAAAGAAAGAGTCGCAATCTCGTCGCCAAGTATGACAATAAACTAGGACAAACATTGAAGCGCAGGCTCCTCCACAGAAAAACTCATTGGCGAGCAGAAAGATTGAACGACGAGAAATTATCGATATCGCGCGAAATCGAAATGTCCTGCCGAAAAATCCTGCAATTTGTCGCCCGACTTCATTTTCGCTTGGGATTTGCGATAGCGCTGTAACGACACCGTTAATTTAACGACACGTCGATCCGCGTAAATGCCTAAGCTATAATTTCTTAAGAGTGTCTTCGCATATTATTTTCTTTTTTTACGAGATAAACAACATACTTGGAATGGACGCGGCGTAAAACTAAAGCGATATCAAAACGTGAAGAGTATACGAGAGTTTCCTAACGCGAGCTTTATGTTTGATTACTATTTTGCCGTTTTATGTGTAATAACGAGTAATACGACGTCAGGGGTATTAAAAAAAATGACGCGTAATCGTGATAAAGGAGGGGAAAGGTTAAAAAGAAAATAGTACTGTCGAGTCGTAAATTATAATTAACGGAAGGACGCGAGGTGTCGTTAATTGATGACGGTACTTACTTTCTTCTTGGACACCCAGCGGCTGTGGACACTGCATGGACTCGTATTGCGTCCTACCGAAGGACGCGCTGAAAATCGCCACCCTCTGGCCGGGATAGCAAACGAGATTGACGACATCGTTCTCGCAAGCCACCTTACTCCTGAACTCATCTGAAACCACAAAAACCGGCTTTTAATAAAGCGGCCATCATATCGCCCACCACCGCTGCCGCCGCCGCCGGCGCCGCCGCCGCCTTTCTGCAAAACGCAATTATGTTCGCGCGACGCCGGTTTATCAAGTGTACCTTATTAGCAAGCGACCGTGTTTCTCATCGTTTCCCTCGCAGGAAGAAGAAAAGAAAAAAGCTTCCCTATTTTGTTAAAATTGCCGAACAAAAATTGCGCGATTTCGTGGAAGACACGATCGTCTTTTTTCTTTCCTCTTCTTTTTTTCTCTTAGGAAACGAGCATTTCTTCCGAGTGAAACAGACGTTGTCTACTCGTCTCGTTACGACGTAATCTTGCATTCGCGAATTTCAATGAACCGGAATAGCTTGCAGCTGCCGATAGTACGTTTTTGTGCTTGTCACCCCCTGCGATGCAAAGGTCGCGTCGCGCTGGGAAATTTCTTGCGACGGACGTAGTTTGCGAGCTTACGGATTGTCGGCATTTGGTCTTGCACAGATGTCCAACCGTGAATATGTTTAACGAAGACAAAAACAAAATCAAAAGGGATTTCTCGCAGATTCTCGAATATTACATTAAATATTTTCCGACAATACGAAAAACTTCAGATAACCATAATAATCAATATCAAAAGTAATTACAACGAGCCGCGAGATATTCGCTAATTAAAAATTAAAAATTAAAAATATTAATGAAATGAAAAAAATTGCTCGCCAGATGCGATTGTTGTTCAAGGCGAATTTGCGGAATAAAACCCAGAGCTTATATAACTTTCGTCACATAGAAACCGCTATTGCTCCTACCTTTTTTATGTTTCTTGCCCTCGTAAACTTACAATTAAACGCAAACTCGTTGCGGCAGAATTGGTGATAAAAATTCCGGGTATGCAGCATCCGGGTGAATCTACCTCCCTCCCCTCCTCCCACGTTCGAGTGTAGCGAAACACTATGGTAACCCGTTGATGTATCGCGGTTTTCTTGCGGAAGAACAAGTTTGACCATAACCCAGCGATTCCACGTCGGAGGCAACATCCTTTCATACCGCGACCATGTTTCTTAGCCACGCACGGAAGTCGGCGGGTGCACTTATGTCCGAGATAAAGTGTTATGTCTTGCTTTATTGAGTTGGCGATTTACGGTGGTTGCCATCGCTGGCTTTCGAACTTCCTCCGCCAGCGAACGAAGCCGAGGCCAATGGCTACCATCGGCGATTTAAGGCGAAATTACGTGCAACGCGAGCCGTGCACACACACACACACACACACACACACACACACACACACACACACACACACACACACACACACACACACACACACACACACACACACACACACACACACACACACACACAACACATTGTTTGACGCGATAGCTTCACCGTTGTTCGCCAACGTGCCAAAATCGAGGTAACAACATCAGCTAATCTCACCAATCCGCTGTATCAGCCAGTTTTGTCTTTACCCCGCACTACCATAAACATCGGCTGACCTATATCTAGCTTTATTTTTTTTTCTAGCTCATATTTTCGCTCTTCTGGCAAAAATATCGCGTTTTTCTAGATTCATACATATTTTTTCGTTTTCTCTCCACGCGCGTGTACAACCTGCGTCGAGTTCAACTAACGAGAACAGTTGTACTGATATAGTCCCGCTATAGTGAGAACTATATTAAAAGATGCAATAATTAAAATTATATTTTTCAAAATTTCCTCGCAGCTTCAGTTTTAATTGCACGAATCGTCCCGTTACTTTCTTTAATATACATATTCCATCATGTAGTTATACTGAAAAAAATCAATTATCCTACTTTCAATATCACATTTTAATATTTTTGATTCAATACCGCTTGTTTTCAATATTGTATTTTAATATTTTTTAATTCCAATCCTTTTTAAATCCATATTTTTCTATATTTATGTATTTTACAATGTACACGATCCCGCATATCCAGCTAACAAATACATCTAATTTCAACTCTAACGGGAGAGGAGCAGATATGTTATTATTTTATTTTGTAACAAAGAATTTTTTATGTTCAAATATAATAATAAAAGTTAGTACTGTTCTCATTTATCTATTTTAATCATGGCACTCGAAATCCCACAATTAATATAAGATCTGTACCCACTGTTTCCAGCCAGAGAATCCGAAAGTCCAGGCTAACCCAAATTAACTGTCTTTGGTTGTAATAAAAGGTAATATCATCACGATATCATTACGAAGGGCGACTTTAAAACGTGGAGATGGTCTTTCCTTTAGTGCAATCTCTTCTACGTTATCTACAGATCTACAGATAACGTAGAAGAGATTGCACTAAAGGAAAGACCATCTCCACGCATAAGATTACGTTGGTTCGCGCGTTAGACCCTAAGACTTTCCTACCTTGAATACCGTATCGGTGCTACAGCTACGTTACATGCAAAGCAAAAATCGCCACGCCATATCTCTCTGGAGGCCCGTATCCACGTAGAAGCGGCCAACGTTATCCAATGGACATATCAAAGACCGGGGCGTCAATGGCCCGTGAAATTTCGCTCGGAAAAGCGAATCCGTGGTATACGCGAGAGAGCTCGCGGAACTTCCTTATTGCCGTGGGATTCTCCACACAGTGAGAGAGAAAGAGAGAAAGAGACACAGACAGACAGACAGAGACCGAGAGAGAGAGAGAGAGAGAGAGAGAGAGAGAGGAGGAGAGAGAGAGAGAGAGAGAGAGAGAGAGAGAGAGAGAGAGAGAGAGAGAGAGAGAGAGAGGAGAGAGAGAGAGAGACGAGAGAGAGAGAGAGAGAGAGAAGGGGAGAGAGAGAGGAGAGAGAAATGTCCAGTCTGGGGCTTTAATTGGCAAAAAAAGAGGAAGCGCCGTCATGGCGCGGAAGAGTGGTGGAAAGAGGGTTGAAAGGGGGAGAGAGGTAATTCCCTCGACAGCGGACTACTCGAAGCGACAATGGAGCCGGCTCCTCGCTTTTTCAGCAAAAGGCCGGGACTTCGATCGACCTACTTTTCCTGACATCGATGGAATCTCCAGTTTCCACGTATGCTCGTGTGCATGGGGGGCGGGGGCGAGAAAAGAGGTAAACGCGAGCGAGTACGTGCCCTTCTCTTTCCGACAGGGCACGTCGGTGCCCGGTGTGCGGTCCGTGTATGCCGACGAATGGAATTCTTTTCAAGGTACGTCCGGTCCTTTTTCGAACACTCCACTTCGGTGCGGTGTGGACGCGAATAACGCGGAGGAGGAAATACGTGTCGAGGATGACTGACAAAGCCAAGGAGTTGATAAGGATGGTCTATTACATCCCGAGACGGATGAATCGCGCGTAGCGTGTAATAATGGCCTGTTGAAGGAGCGGCGTAAATTTTGAAAAATAAATAAAAAAAAATACGGGCACACTTACTACGCTGCAAATCGAATTTCAACGATCGCATCGTTCCGAATTAATTCAAACAAGTACAATTTGCATAAAATGCAAAAAAAAAAAAAAAAAGAAATCAAAGTTTCCAAGCTTCAATTCTTTTAAGCAAAATTTGAAGATTGAAACATGAAGAAATCGGGCTTATGAAAATCTGTTAACAACATTCAGCCGCGTGAATACTATCCGATTGCTCATTACACGCATTGCAAATCCCATCGCGATGAGAAACATGAGGCAACCTCGTTTACTCCTCATTACATTGATCATTACTCGGACGAACGATACAAAAATTGATTAGACAGATTAAGCACGTTCGTATACCCGGCTTATTGTGCGTGTACAGTGGTGCAATAAGTGGCATATGTTGTCGTCGGATAGATTTGCGGGCGGCGCGTGAGGTGTCGGCTGGCTTTGGCACGTAACGCGACACGTGTAATATGTAATCGTCCCGTTGATGTATTACAGAGGACAACCGCGTTAGCCACGTACAAGCGTCATCCCTCCGCTTGGTCGCTTCGTTTTGGACCAAGTTGTGACGGATGTAAATACGCGGAATATACATTTTAATGGATTCACGAATAGAACTTTATTCAGAGATAATGGATTTTCCTCCTCCTTCTTCCTCACCCTCCTCTCTCTCTCTCTCTCTCTCTTTCTCTCTCTCTCTCTTCTCTCTCTCTGTTTCGATAAAAATAGTGCCGCAAATTATCGAATTTACACGCAAATCTACATGTCTACGTGTCTACATTTCACCACGTACGTTACAGACAGAATTTCAAGAATTTAATTTGATATAACATTAATTAATTTATAGATGCATCATATTGTTAGGAAGTAATGAGAAAACATTCGCTCTCCGGAAAATGTCATTGTAATTAAAACAAAGTTATAGAAATGCGAATTCTGCAGTCTGCATATTCAATGTGTTGCACAATGAATTTATATAAAATAATAAAAGTATTATGACATTATCATAAGTATTATGGTAGAAAACGTTGCGTATGGAGTTGTAATGGGAAAACGCGTATGCTGGTCTAAAATAATAAAAACGGCAAGAATAAACTTTTGTCTAAAGCGTTGCCATTATCGTCATATTTCCTACGTGTCCGTTAGTGAACTGCAAGTACAAACGCATGCTTTCTAAATGACTGCTTGTGGTTTTTATTTCATCGTCATATGCGACACTATATTCTACAAAAAAAAAAAAAAAAAAATTGAAACAAAAGTTTTGTAAAATGAACGTTTTGTGGGGCACATGGGTTTTTCGCTTATAGTTTCCTACACTCACCACCACTTTTGTAGCTAAAAAATTATGCGTTACATTTAAATAGTGTTCTATAAAATCAACAGCGTGGAAAACGATGCGTAAAGTAATTTGCGTTACATATCAATTTGTTTCAGAAATTGTATATATAATATTAAAGCAATATATATAAATTTTATGTTTTCCTTTGTATGTTCTTTTTCTTTTTTGTAAAAATTAATCAAATGCTTATATTATTTTACTAGATTCTTATGTTGAAAATTGCTTCATACAGTCATTAAGTGTGCACATAATAAATAATGCTTGCCTAATAAACAATATACAAAATTTATTTAATGATTATAAATAGTCTGCTATAAATCGTCGACTTATACTACTTGTCCGTTCGCAAATAACTTTACTACCACATCAAGTTGCTCGAAAAACAATTATATGTATCGCGTTATAATTAATTAAATATTTAAAATATTTTACTTTATACGTATATTTTTTTAAATTGAAAATGAATTTTAAAACAAATTAATCTCAATTCGTTTAAAATAAATTACCTAAATAGACTAAAGTTATTTGAAATTTAGGTTATTTATTCGGTAAGTAGATTGTTCCTAATGAAAATTAGTTTTAAAGTATCTTTTATCTCGCATTATAATCTTTTTTACAAATATTAAAGATTATTCCGTAAGATCTTAAAACAAAAAGTCCCAAGACAATATTTAAAATCATTGTCTTCTATATTACACGGCTTCTATATTATATTATATACTAGGAAAACTTTTTAACCTCATGGAATATGTATTCTCATTTTCCCGAACTTTTCTTCGTATCTTCAAGTGTTCTGCGTTTCCGCGCTCACTGTTCTAGAAACGATTTCATTCATTGATTGCAAAGCTTGTTAAATAAAAATTTTTTTGGAAGTTACTCTACGAAAACTATCAAATGAGAATTCAATATAAATGCAGTATACTTTCTTTCTTTCGATACTATTTTTACTGCGTATTTAATTGAATTCTCTTCTTTTTTTAATGTAAATTATAATTAAAACAGCTCATAAACAAAATAAGTTAATTATATACATATCAAACTAATTTGTCGCATTCAATTATCATTTGATAATAAAATATTATTTATTATTATTTAAGTTGATGTCTGTCCCTCAAAAAAAATTATTTTTTTGAAATTGATTTTAAGTTACTTCATACTTTAGTACTTTAGTACTTTAATTATATAAAAATTAGTTTATATATATAAATCATAATAAAAGTGTACTAAATTAACAGTTGTGATAATAATAATTAAATGTTGTACTAATTATTTTAGTGATTTTAGAATGAACTATCAAATTTCAGAATATAACAGCTTTTATTTTATGATTTTTAACAATACTTGTAAAAAAAGATATTCGTTTCAAAGTGCGAAAAATATGACATTTTTTGAAAAATTGAAACAATTTTTATATCCGGTCTTGTTACCTATATATGGTTACATGAAAACGGAATATAAAAAATAATGTATTTAGCACTTCAATATCATCAGATTTGTTTTGATGCAAACGGCATAAAAACGAACACGCAATTTTTTTCAAAATATAACACTCAACAAAGCAAATCTGTGATTTAGAATATTGCAAATCCGCAAGTTGTAATAATCAAAACATGTCAGAAAAATAGATGTGTATATTGGTTTTCGCACAAATCAACAAAATTTAAAAAAATTTCAATAAAATATATCATATAAAATAGATTCAAATATGAAAGTAAATTCTTACAGATTACAGCCAATATTTTATTCAGACTTGTCAAAAAAATCGAGAAAACAATAAGCATTTTGTGGATTAGCCACTCAACAATCTTTTATCGTATTGAACCGAAATAAACCGGTTACGAAACCGGTATTTCTTGCGCTCACGTTCTGTTGGTACTCTTTTTCAGCACGCGAAACTGACACACCTTTGTTCAGGAGAGTGATTTAACGCTGCCAGCAGTACCCTGAAAAAGTACTTGGATTTACCGTGTGTGCGGTAAACAATGAGATGACTGTGGCTTGAGTGCGGCTGCAGGAACCGGCGTGGACCTACAGAATGTAAAACGCGCCGCGATGGAGTTGCTATACTTCATGGCAAAAATTACTTGAAGCTTGTTACTGCAACAGGTTGTCCTCATGCTCATTGCTCATTGCTGTAAACGCGCATGTATAGATAGATCCCTCTGATCATTGCTACAGTTCAAACGCATAGTTTCGTCATTGGCACTAAATGCGTAGCATAGCGAATGCATTCCATGCGATATGAAATCAAAATTTATAAACTTCAATGCGAACGAGAGCGTTAAAAT